GCGGACCTCCAAGAGATGGTGAATCAATGCGACAAACGGTCGGCCAACATTCACCGAGCAGATGCGAGCCGAGGTTCCCATGAGCTCCTGGAGGCCCACTTGGAAGACCAGAGGGAAAAGAGGAGGCGCGTCCTCGGAAGCCTCGAGGAGCAGGAGGTCGTGGAGCGTGTCAAGATGGTTGGTTCGGCCAAGGTGATCAAATGGCCGACAAGGCTCGGGAAGAAACTACATCTGGCAGGGGATGACTTGGCCTTGCGAGAGCAAGCAGAGAAGTCGGAGCGCGACAGATGGCTGGGAGAGTTGAGGACGATCATCAAGAAGGCCAAGCTCCCGGTTGCGCTTCGATCGAACGAAGATTCTCTTCTCATGAGGATCGCAAAAGGGAGGCGTCCAAACACTTTGAGAAAGCATGTCAAAACATGGCAAAAGGTGGGGCAGTGGCTGGAGTCGACCTATGGCAAGATCTGGCCTACATCGCCCACGGAGTTTGCCGAATACTTGGAGGCCATCGTTCAGGAGCCCTGTGCAAAGTCAGCCCCGGAAGCAGCGTTCAAGACATTGATGTTCTTGGAGTTCGCAGGAGAGGTGGAGGAGGGTAATCTCTTCCACAGGTCTGCAGCTGTGAAGAATGCACTGGAGGAGGCGCAGCTCAGGTTGGCATCGGCGGAGATGAGGCCGTCGAGGCAGGCGAGGATGATTCCACTTGCAATCATTGAGGCCATGGAGGACATGGTGCTGTGCGACGATCGACTCCCCTTTGTCAGGGCATACGCCTGGTTCAGGCTGGTGAAATTGTGGACGGGAATGCGCTTTGATGATACACGAGGGACACCGAACAGGAGCATTGAGCTTCGAGATTCACACCTGGTGGGGGTCATCCATAAGTCCAAGACTTCTGGGCCAGGCAAGCGTGTCCTTCTCCTCCCGTTCTATGTCAGCAAGGACGCTTGGGTAAGCCGATACAATTGGTTGGAGGTCGGATGGCGGATCTGGACTCACATGGGCATGGAGTCTGGTCTTTTGACCCGAGACTTTATGTTGGCTTGGCCGACGGTGGACAGGCGATCATTTGCAAGGCGGATGGCGGACTATGCAACGGCCTCTGCAATGTCACAAGCTTTGTTTGGCGAGCTGTGGACGATGGATGGAGGCCAGAGGATCTCGCTGTTGTTCAACGGGGTAGGCACGCTATGGACAGAACATAGCGAACGTGCGACATTGAGGTCGTGGGCAGCAGCCGCGAGGGTGCCGGAGGACATCCGGCGTCAGATGGGCAGGTGGCGGCCGGCCGCCGATGAAGGCTATGAGCGAGTGGTTCGTGCGAACATCCTGCGAGCCCAGAAGATCATAGCAGCCTTCATTCGAGACAACAAAGGAAGAGGAGATCCCATGGACGAGACAGCGGTGATGGAGGCGGTCAGCATCCGTATGGGGCTGCTTGGCTATCCAGACGAGGCAATGGAGCTTCAGACACGTCTGCTTGAGAGGTTCCATCCAGAAGAGGTGGCAGTGGAGCCATGTTGGAGGCCTAAGTGGACGTCGGCAGGGCCGGTGGTGCTCGTCGAGCCGGAAGACGGCGACCCCATCAATGATCGGAAGACTGGTCCTGAGGATGCCGGCTTCGAGTCGACGGAAGAGCTGGAGACGGAGCCACGGGACGAGGTGATCCGAGCAGAGGCAGTAGCGGGTAGCTATGTGGTGTCGATAGTTGGTCGATCGCGGACGCGAACATTGCACCGCGTGGGGGAGTGCCACAGGCAGCCCGGTGTACATTATGCACAGTTTGAGTTGCTAGGAGAGGAACCTCCAGATACAAGCCAATATCATCGAGCTTGTAAGAACTGCTTCGGTGACGGTGCAACCGTAGCAGGGATTTCTCCGGAGGATGAAAGCTCCGGGGAAGTGACTTCGTCGGACTCAATGGAGTCGGATGTGGAGGCATCATTGTGAGAGATTCGTGGGCCTCACAGTGAAAGGGGACATGCTGCACTGAGGGGGTGGTATGCGGCGAAACATCAAACGAGAGAGTGGCCGTGTACGGGTCATAGGAAGGCCTGAGGCGAAAGAGGGGTTGAAGTTTGAGTGTGTTTTGCGCTTTGGCTTGTGTGTTCGTTGCCGGGTCGATCGATCGTTTCGTGAAACGTCTTGGATTTGTGCTAGCTTTGTGAGACCTTCCCTTTCAGGCATGATGGTGCATGAGTGGGGCTCCAGCCCGGGCGGCCGTTCAACGGCGGTTCATTCCGGGGTTTCTCACGGGGAGGACCAGTCCTCGTGAGTGCACATGGCGGGAGCCGGGGCCGCTGCTGGTGCGCTGGACATCGGCCATGACACACCGGCACGGCGAGCACATGCCATCTCGCTCTTGGACGCGGATCTACACGGTCTTCTGCAGATCAAGGAGGTGAATGAGACACTGCAGGCAAAACTGTCGGTGGCAAGGGTGAGAACTATTAGCAGGTTGAGCACGGTGACTGACGACAGGGCTGGAATGAGGAGGTTTTGTGTGGATTCGCTTGGGCTCGATGAAGGAAGGGATGTGATAGATATCGCATCTATGGTGGATGCCTGGGAATCCTCTTCGACCAGAATGACGGTGAGGCACAAGGCGGAGGCAGAAGCAGGACTTGCCAGTCAACCCCGAGCGTTGAACAAGGTCGAAGTGCAGGATCTGCTCACGAAGTTCCAGGCGGTGCACGGCCTCAAGTTGGAGGACAGGAGCATACCAGCGGCATCAACGCTGGAGCAGATCTTTGACCAGGTAGAGCAAGGGGAACTGAAGAACATGAGCCTCGTGCAGTTCGTTAGCCGAGAAGACGCCGAGGCAGATGTGTTGGGCGCCACCATTGAGAAGGG